AACCCACTGACAGTGCTAGATTTATGCACCAATTTACCAGCTCGCGCGTGCAATGCGCAGCTACCTACCCCCCTCCCCCAAATCATCGGTGAACGAAACTGTGGCAGCTACAACCAGTGTACGACTAGTGCGCGGTTCTTACAGCTGACAATGATGATGATGATGATGGTGCATAGGTGTCATCCGCACGAAGGAAGCACGATAGCTGAGGTACTGCCAAGCCAGCAGCATTCAAGATGCCGGGGTTAAGTTCGAACAGAGGGATCCTCAGATCAGTAGTTTTGTGTCTTAACCACCGGATTACCCCCGGACACCACTGAGCTACATAAGATGATGCCAAGCCATTGTATACCCGTGCTGTGGAGAGCTGAACGAAAATGGACGGCAACATCCCTGAACTTTGCGCAGAAGACTCGAAACGGGACGGGTGTTTAATCGTTATTGCTAGCAACAACAGTTCTTCACCGCCATTCTGAAAAACTGCATGAAACGACCGTTGGGCCATTTCACACCTCAAATATTCAGGTTGGGAGAATCCAGTGTGAAAGTTACAGTGGAGGGACTAATTGAAATATATCAGTGTTTTCAGATTCCGTGCCTTCCCTTGTTTCCTTCAGTCCAGAAAAACAAACCACTTACAGCCAATACCAGTATATAGTTGAAAAATATCACATGATGCAAGGAGAGCCGAGCAAACCATACATAGAGAAGAAATGGAAGGGGACTTTGGGACACTATTTCTCCTTGGATACCATGTGGCGCATGAGCAACGAGATGAACTTCTCAATCTTTTTCACGTCCTGAGCCAAATCGGTTACATACTTTAGGACCTGCAAGATAAGACGGAAAATTTGAAAAGAAGACTTACAATATGATTATCAGTAACTTTGATACTGAGCTTTTTATCGACGTGGCGATACTTTGTACACACCCGACACTACGGTGGAAGAAATTTTAAAATGATTGCCTTGACAGAGTTCTACCTTCATCGGATCCGAGAGATATAGAACCTCTGCAGCTTTGGCAAACTCTTCCCAAGAGTTGAAGTTGGTCATAGCTGTACCGCGGCATGCAGATACTAAAGGTCAAAATCACCGGGGCCCCTTGGGTGTGGAAAACAGATTGGCAGTTGTTAGAATATTGGAAAGCTGAAAGAGAGAGGGATCTAATTAAACCGGCTGATGTGGGGCCCCGGAGTAATGCATAAGTAATAAAACCACATTTGGTTCTCGTCAAGCCCCCTACGATATTAGGTCGTACTAAATAACTCAACGGCTTTTTCGCCCAATTTCATCGACGGTCCGGGCAGTATTCACGCTCAACCGTGAGGTCAGTGTGGCAACTCTTGATCGGATTCTTCTTATCTAAAAGTAGAATAGCCGTCCATGGAGAAAGCAGCCGGTCACAACCAAGTGTCCGTCTAAATGAATGGCGACAATCAAGAATCTATCAGGCGGCTGTAGACCCAGTAGAACCTTCAAATTCAATCAATCCCAACATCGATAGTTCCCCTCAGTGAACGTGCTTCATCAAAAGGCCTCGTCTGAAGACGCCTTGAGTTGTGTGCTGGATGATTCAGAATCAAACCAACCCTTTTTGTTTGCAGATCAGTGGACTGTGGTTTCATCCCAAAAAATGCACTGGATTCTTCGATACCCTTGTCTTCAAATTCCCTTGGAGTGCCAATCCGCAATTTAATTAGGAAAACGCGACAGCTGTATAGGGTATATAAAGTGAATGAAGCTCGAAGCACAGGGTCCGGAATTGGGAGGGGGAACGAGGAACATTGCGATTTTCGAAGCTCACTTTGAATTTCAACTCACACTGTCCGGTCGAAGGTGACTGAGGGGTAAGTAATACTTCTAAAACACGCCCCTCATTGGTTGCTTAGGCCTGTACTGTATTTCTGATGGGACCTTGGTAAAGCTGAAGATTACGAGTAAATTTTCAGATATGCTGGGATTATTTTGAGACATTCGACCTTTTAGAAGGACCGGTGTATTCCCTGTTGTTGTTACAAAGCACCACAGAGATCACTCCCCGAAAGCCATACTGAACAGTAGCAGACACCACAACAATATAAAGGATTGGACCTTATAGTGTATGGCGATTCAATCCAATTTACCGGCTACAAAGTACGTACGATAGGTACACTGATTCCAGCTGCTACACTTTCGATCACCAGAAAGTGGGATAGCGTGGGACTTATTGCCAAGCATGCCAGGCCACGGCATGTTCAGTTAGTTCGAGAACTGTGTAGCTGAGCACTAAAAGCGATAGTTACAATAAAACAGTACCACTGATCGGGCGATTGAGCCATTTCTGCCCGTCATTGACCATTGGTAAGTTGAGTCCGGGGGTACCCCATTCACGGCGGCAGTTGTCAGCCTGAATCAGTTTACTGGTTATGGTTTCCATACATCGTTATCCACCTCTTGGTCACTTTCACTAAACACATGGCTGGGCGGAAAGAGCTACGCGAGGTGGGTAGTCTTCTGGCATGTAGATTACACGTCCTTACCAGCGTCACCAACGGTCAAGCACTGACAACTTTCGTGCGTCTTATGCGCGTAGAGGCCACGTTTCTGACCCGTAATATAGTATGAATCACACTGCCGTACTATATGCCCCGCCCTTGACAGACCAGCTGATGTCATGCCAACACCACAGGTTCGGTAGTTCGGAAAAGCTGTCCTGGCCTTCCCGATTCGAGAAGCAATCTCATCTAGAACCAGTCCACCCGAACTTATATAACTGCCCAAGTAAACAAATTTACCTGGTACATCGGTTGGCTGGTCTGAAAGCATGAGGTTTGGGTTTGATCCTACCTAGTATTGTAGCAGGTGTTTACACTTTGCAGGCCAAAACTGAGGCAAAATTGTTTAGGTAATTTTAAGTGGTTTGCATTTTCGAAGGATGTGAACATAGGACAAAAATATCGCCCGCATACTCACAGTCTGTGAGCGAACTTCCTGGGAGCATTTAGACCTACTAGGTTTCAGAGGCAGTCAGGGAAAGTTCAAACGGTATATCCATAACCAAGTTGAAGCGGGAAGGTGAGAGAGGGCATCCATGTCTGGCGAGGTTAAACGTGATGAAGTCAGCCGTATTCTCTTTCCCGTCCACTTGAGTTCGCATGCAGTACCCTCATAAGGAATATAAATTTTGAATGCATATCCTTGATCGCCAGGCACCACAAGAACTTATTACGAACGAAAGAATAAAAAGCGGCTTTCAGATCGAGAAAAATGACCAAATGTGGGACGATTGAAAGAGCGGCGCTGTCCACGAACTTATTTCAAGGTGAGGATAAGTTCGATCCAACCTCAGCAGGCGAAACCCAAATTAGTTGTCACGACTCCAACTCCAGATGATCGATCAACCTGCGCAAAACAATGCCATAAAGTACCTTGGATGCAACGGGTGCTAGGCTGATACCACGATGATTTTCGCACGACGTTCTTGTGCTCTTTTTGAGCTCGAGAAAGATTACTGCTTATGGTTCAAACTTATGACCGGAAGATCCGTGGTTCGAACCCAGCCTCAGAACCACAACTGTTTCTGTGTGGGCTTGGGCGACCTGGCAGTATCTCAGCCCTCGTGCTTCCTTCGGGTGGCATGGCGCTAAGGCACCGGGAAGGTGTTACAGTTGGAATGTGTTGATGCTGTGCTATACTTTGTCTTTTTGAAGAATGCAATGCCATCCGAGAAGGTTATTTGCGCTGATATTCTGTTTTCCTTTCAAATCCTCTGAATCATGGCCGTCAAAGTTCTCACTAGGGCCTTACCACCCTTGAAGAACTCAGAATGCAAACCACGTAGGCCAGATGGTTTGTCTCGTTAAAGGGTTGATATCTCACGCTATTTTTGTTTTGGGCGGCTCTCTAGCGTTGATGTTCCGTTCAGATCCACCGGGTTCTTTTAGCGGTCGTGTTGAAGGCATATAGCAAGGCAGTGTGATCCATGCAGCATTACGGATCAGAAACGTGGCTTCTACGCGCAGAGGGCACACGAAAGTTGTCAGCTTGACCACTGGTGTCTTTGAAGCATTGATCAGGTCTGGTGAGGTGAGACCAGCAATACTGAGGTACGCAAGATGGTTTTAGAAAAAGTTCTGCCACGATAGACCGCTTATTAACAACTCATGAGTTATGCTGGTTATGGTATGTACTCTGTCAGAGGTCATTCTGCCTTGCACAGCTGTTTTCGTCCATCCCTGGGATAAGTATAAGCGACAGACGTTGACAGCTTATAACCTGGTGGCGATGTATGGGAACACTGAATAGTAGGCTCAAGCGGGTCGACAGCTGCCATCTCCCTGAACGGGGAGCGTGGGAGTCAAATTACCAATAGCTGTTAATACTGTCAGAAATTGCTAAATCATGCAGTAGCACTCTTGTACCAAAGCAACCGCCTTCAATGCATAGCAGGCGTTTCCGGAACTATCCTATCATATCGTCCTTCCCATGACTTAGCAACATGCCATCACGTTTTCCGGTTACCGAAGTCGTAACGGCCGGAGTCAAGGTCTCTAGTTGATGAACTGTAAGATTGAACTGCTTCTGCAATAAACCATGGTCCGTTTTTGTAGCACCTGATGACAGCGCTTTCTGAGGTTCCCGCGAAGGACGTATGGACACTTTTCGTCACTCTTCTGCTACAATATCCAGTTGGAGTAGGATAGCGTTAAAAAATCATTAGGCTTAACATTCTCTGTGTGTCTAACTACGTGCATTTTGCTCCCACAAAGTGTAGAGCCACTGTAAGGCACTGGAAATTGTGGATCGTTATACGTATCTTGGAAGATGTATTAATTCTGATTGTAGCCGGACAGGTGAGGTCAACGCAAAAATCTCCAAGGCTCGGGTGGCGTCTGCTAATTTGGTATTAATTCGATTGTAGCCGGACAGGTGAGGTCAACGCAAAAATCTCCAAGGCTCGGGTGGCGTCTGCTAATTTGAGACACCAATGGTGTCAAGTATTGCATCTCCGAATCTCAAGCGTATGCATCAGACGACAGTGTTGGCTGCTTGTTGTGAGTCTGTGAGAATTGACCTGTTTGAGCAGCGGAACTGAGACGTCCTCAGGTGTTCGACAATCGCTGTCTCAGAACCAAAGCTCGTGTGGGTTAGTGTCGGCGAATCTGTAACGAGGCACTTAGAAAGCGAGTTATCCGTTATGCAATATGTACTTCCACTGAAGAATGTGTCCAGCACCAGAAGCTGCGGGTAAGCTGATAACATACCTGCGCAAATGTGACGTAGGTTCACAGAAGCCGCTCTGGCCTTCCCAATCCGGATGAAAATATCATCTTTGGCGAGACCACTGGGATTGATACAGCTGCCCGGGTAGACAAACTCGACTACTAACTCAATCGGCTCATCAGCATGAGGTTAGGTATTACAATAGCATTTTACACTTTTCAGGCGTGAAGCGCGTGCCGAACCGTGAGGCAAAATGTTCAGATTATTTAATATTGTTTGGATTACAGCCGTGTCAGATACAAGAAGAGCTATGCCGTCTGCTTGGGGCAAGATGGCCCAAGTGGTTAGAGCGCGAATTTAATGACCGGAAGGTCCGTGGTTCGAATCCGACCTCCGCCACTCGACTTCCCCTGTCTAGGCTTGGGCAACCTGGTAGTATCCCAGTCCTCGAGCTTTCTTCGGGTGGCATGGCAGGTAGGCACCAGAAAGGTGCTACAGCTGAACGATGCCGTCTGCTTACCCGATATCTGAGGGCGGACACCCGGGGTGCACTTCAACCCCATAGGCAGTAAAGGCTGAGAATGAGTCTTCCATAATCGTGTCAGTAACGAATTCGAAAAGGAAGTATGAAAGATGACGGCCTTGTCTGATACCACTTGATGTGGTGAACCCAGGCGAGAGCTCCCCGTAGACCTTTACACGTGAGCGGAGTTGGCGTTGAACGCACAAAGAAGGATCAAGGATTTATGGGAAATACCTTTTCTCCACAGACATTATCATAGTGATGACAGTCCACAGAGTCGAAAGCAGCTTTCAAGTCAAATAACACAACCATCATTGGTTGCTGGAGGCAGTTTCGCCGTTTCAGAATCTATCGCAGGGCGAAGATGTGATCGGTGTGTCCTCTTGCAAGACAGAACCCAGCCTGGTATCTGCTTCGGACCAGCGCGCTCATCTTGAGTCACTGGACATTACGGACCAGTACTGACTATGTTTGTGCTGACATGTGCCGGGCTATCGGGTATCTTATTCCAGAAACCAGCCACCCCGTTCGGTGGCATAGTTAAATGGGCATTCTATTTTTCTCGAGTTTGGGTAAATTGTCTTTGTGCTTGGGTTCCTGACCGTCAGGATGTTGTCGTCCACACCAGAGGGTCCGTCATCAAGAGATGCACTTGACTGTGGTGTAACACTTTATATACATCCGCAACCCCGCGATACTGGGGATTGTTCTCGCGATACAGGGCTTCTGATACAACGCTGGACAACGGTTAGAGTTGTGACTAACACAGACTCAGGAACATGTGTGGCGAATTGTCTCCTAAAAAGTAGGCTGCTTGCGGACTCACGCCATCCACCCACCTACCACTTGCCTACTCACCCGTTGGGACTTGACAATGCCCTGCCAACCAACAATCATATCAGAAACGAAGCTTGATACAACCCAACTGAGTCTTTGTGGGGCCCAGTTCGCCTTTCGAGTTGTGTCAGGTTTAAAACCACCTGTGACCGCAATGCCCAGAGCTCACACTTACTCGACCTTTGTTATCTGAACCGGTCCCAACTAGAGCTATAGCTCTATAGTTGTTTCAAAACTGAGTCTGAGAGATCTTCACTGTCGTTGGTGAATTTCTGCGTCTCATTGTCCGCTGGGCCATTCGACGAATGTCCTCTCTTGGTTCACGTCTATGGGTTTCCAATGTAGATCATATATGGTCTATAGCTATACCTAGGATCTTTACGATCTTCGTCTAACAAGACGAGTCAAAAGTTTGCTACATTTCTCGTCGCCATAAGACCGGCTATGACAGAAGTAGAAGATAGGGAGTACCCTCGTTCCACCTGGTGCTCGGAGGTGGGTCTCCAAGATCCACTGACACCACGTCAGTTGAGTGGGTGTGTCAGACCGGACGGGAGCTGGCCTGGCCTGATTGGTCAGAACGCAGACCAATCACGGCCTTCATGGGATTTTGCACTCGGATAGTCCTCGCTTTGGGTAATGCTGGCACTCGTGGAAATGCCCCTATCAATCAAACTTTACTCACACAAGGAGCAAGTAAGTATCGGATCCACCAACAACGGTCCAGGGGCATCAGATCAAACGTCTACAAAGTTGCTCCACCGTCAAAATGTTTGATGACGTAGATATTCTCGTGGCTGTTCCTTCAGTGCATTCGCCGGACATTCTGTCCCTGTGCGTCCTTGAATAAAGAGTTTAGCAGGTCCTGGTTCCCCCTGTAAATCAGCGGTAATCCGTTGTTATTCCTCGTATTTGTTTTATCTACCCATGATTAGCACGGCTTACACCTGTTTATTGTAACTCCGTTGTTCTTCCATGTCGTTTGTCCCCTGGGTTTTCGTTTCCGCCTTAGGGCTAACGCACTTGTTACTACTGTCAAGACTTTGTTGTACGTTCGGTTTCGCCTGAAATTTTGCATCAACTGCACTCGATTTCGAGTGTTCTGCTCCGGCAAAAGAACGGGTCACCTGATGATCGAACACACATCCCCTTGGATGGCAGACAGATGCACTATTCCCCGCCCCAACTTGTCATCTGATGGTCTTATGTTTTGTATTGAGTTCACACTGCACGATACCCGATAATCCTCGATGAGGTCTTGTTTTACATGGGCCTAAGCGAAAACTCCGATTTGACGTGTACTTACTGCTTTGTAGCACCGTCCGGTTAAGACTGCCGGTACATTTAACTTGCGCCGAATTCATCCGCTACCCGTCTTCAGGGCAGCTTTTCTTGCCTCATGAGTGTACTGACTGATTTCGGCATTGTTACCTGCACACACTGGCTGCCGGTCCCGCGCGTTACTATATCATTTGGTGCTTACCCGATATTGTTTCCAGGGGACATTACTGCCTCACTATCCAGTTTTACGTACCACAGTTTGCACCGTCTTTAATTGTATGATCTGCTCAGTTCATAGGGTTGAGTGACCAATTTTCCCGAAGAACCATTTCTCAGTAGAGCGCCTACTGCCTACCGAATACGGAATGCGCAGTCTGTTTGCTCCAATTGTTCCGTAAGTTCAATAGCCGCCCGGGTCCCACATCAGGTGTATTCAAGAGAGAAAATTGAGTTGGTATTCAAAGCGGAAAGGGTGAGCTGTGTTACCTCACTAGAAATAACGAGTGCATCTAGGTAGATTACGCGCGACATCCATAAACTTGTGGGTCGACACGCCGAATTGTGGCCTTTGTCAGTGCTTCCTAGGTCCGACTCTCTCTTTTCATTTGGTGGCTTCCACTCACTTGAAAGGTATAAGCTGAGAAGACCACTCAGTATTCCCCGAATGGAATCCAGTTGGAGAAAATAACGGTATTTTCATGATTACCACTTCATAGCTAAGAATCTCTGTGCCCGCTGCATTGTTCTGCGAATTCTTTGTATAGCTAATTTGTTTAAGTGGGCGAATCCTAAAGGTCATCAGTTATGTCCGATTGGAAATAAGGTGTATAACTTTATTGAAATATCGTTACCTAGGTAAAACGTTAACCCCTTTTGCTTGGCGCAGTTCGCTGGCGGCTGTAATAATTCATGGAAATTGCTGGACCCACGCTGTACTCGTGGACGCAAAACATGGTAACGTTTTACTTCTGTAACTGCATTTGGCCCTGTACCTGCTGGCTGACTGAACGAAAGGCGAATCCCGTGTTTTTGGAGCATGTGGAATCAGGGCTAAGACACATTCGTTACACTCGGAAAACTCATACTGGATATCGAGAACCTGAGGCTGCAAAAAATAATGACCCCCTGCTGAGTTTCTCGTCCAGTGCTTGATACCAGAACGTAAATGTTAGTGTCCACGATGCCTGATAAATGAGCTTCTTGGAACCTGCACCGACCGAAGCAGATAGCTGAAGGA